CTTAATATAATATCAATCGCTTAAAAAATGTTATCAACATAATGACACCACTTATAGTTTTAAGATATTACTTTTAAAAAATCACGAAAAAATTATCGGTAAATATAGGTAAATATGAGTAAATATACCGGTATTATCGTATACCGGTATATCGTATACCGTATATCTGCATTTCGGTTTGCATAAGGATTTTCATACAATTACCCAAAAATATCGGAAAAATACCGGTATTTTGCATACCGGTATAAGTCCCTGGTTTTAAGTGCTGTGAACATACAGGACATACGATCTTCTATCGATCTTTTTTCTCTTGACTTGTGTGACTGCATACCAATAAATTTATACTTTTTCTACTCAGAATATTTTCGAAGTAATAAAAAAGTTTACAGCATAGTTGCTGCTTATATTAGTCAGCTATTTATAGTTCGACAATAAAGAGAACTTCAAATAGAATAAATCATACATGTGCTGTGGCACTTGTACTAGAGTCCTAAAATAGTTAAAAAAATAGCACTCTACTTTACTAAATGTATACATTATGTATGTACATACCCTATAAAACGCTATATTTTTATCATTATACACTGCTGTGAAAACTAACTGACACTGAGTGCAATGCCTTGTTGTTGAATAAATAACAATGAAGAATTTTTACTACCACGTGACGGCAATGAAAGGTAACCGAAAAAATCACGATCTCTTTTTTGAAGAGTCGCATTATACGCCAGTGTACCACATTTGTAATCGTCCAATTTCAATAATTACACAAATTCGCGTCAGTACTTAATCACATGTGTGTGAGTGTTTTTTTTTTAAACTAATAGTAAAAACCAAATGGTGCAATTTTATATACTATAAAAAAGTTAACATTCTATTTACAGTACGTATATAATATATACACACTATCATAAACCAGTCAAAAAAAGTATCAAATTCAGTATTTTTATAGAGACGTTTTTATTGTCACAGTTTTACTAATTGTCACTTTTTATGGTCACTTTTTTTCTTTACTGTGATAAGAATAAATTGTTGCTTAAAAAGCGAAAAAACATTGTTTTTTGGTTTATATTTAATTTTATTCCCCTACTGATGTTTACAATTTACAAAAATTAATAAGTTGATACTTAAACTTGATTATCTTTTATCTGTTCTATAAATATTTGTATAAAATAATTTTGTTTTTATTCTCTCTTAGATCTTAAAACTATAAGTTTATTTGTTCTCATATTACAATAACTTAAAATGTCACAAAAAATGTAGTAATAATTATAATTCCAAAATTACAATTATTATAATTACACGTAAATATGATCTTACATAATTACTTTTTTCTGGTACAATATGCACAGTTTTGTTATACGTACTCAGATACTTGCAATGTCAAGCAATTCTTTTTATCAAGATATAAAACGATTCTTGTTTCTTTTAATCGTTTTTTTAAATCTATGTCACATTGCCTTAATATGAATACTTATCTATTCATAGTCTCATATTTTTTATGTGGTTTACTAAATGATGAATAAATTTGAACATTAGGTTTTTGTGATTCAAACTGCTTTACATCCTCCAGAGTTACAGAACAACCAGTTATATCCAACTCTATCAAGTTTGGTAATGTCAAAGCTATATTGATATCAATTCTAGTAACATGCGAATAATGTCTAAATCGAAATAAAAACATCAGTGTTTAAAATAGTTTTGGTTTTGGTGTCTAGACTTACGATTTACCTAATATGTAATTTCTTCAAATTATTACATCTACTTATATACCGACTAAAATTTGACAACAAATAGTTCTGGAACCTCTCGTTTTTGTCACTGATTATTTCTTTAACTCTATTTTCGGCATGAAGAGGCTAAAGCAAAAAAAGTTATATTATCATTTAGTTCGCAACAAGAAAGTGCTGAATTGTGTTACTACTATTAACAATACATGCAAGCGTGTATGTTTGAGAGGCAAAAATAAAGAAAACAAAAAATAGAGAAGACATACTTCTACTGTATATAAAAAGTTATACAACTCATCAAACTCATGCAAAGGAATATATTCTTTGTAATAAAAGATTTGTAACTCTTTTAATGATTCACTTGACCATTCGTTTCTTAAATATTTAGGACAATCTAGATACAGTTCCTCTAAAGATTCAATTTGACAAAACCATTCAACTAACTTTTCTTCTATTGATGTGTTTCGAAAGTCCAGAATCTATAAAAAGAATAAAAGAAAAAAACATGTCTAGAAAAGTGTGCTTTTCGCAGTAGTAGATGGAATGCAGAACTATTAATGTTTTAGAATAAACAATACCTTTACTTTTTGGCACTTACAAGTGAAAGTAAATAAATCTATGTCTGAATTAAATACCCGTACACAAAAACATGAAAATATTTTAAGTTTCTGAAGTTCTGTAAGGTTACTTATATTTGTCAAAAATGTCGATTGTAGAATCCATAAAACATTATTAAACATCAAGTGCTAAAATTTATATTTTCCATAAAGTTTTATGTCGTTATAAACAATGTGTATGTAAGAGTATGTGTGTATAGTACAATACAATAGATATGTATAAATACGTATAGATATGTAAAATATATATGTATAGTACAATAACTTACTTTTACATAAGGTACGAACCTACATATTCCACGAAAAAAATGGTACGTATACGATAACAGTATAAAACTAGTAAAAGCTACACAATTTTTGATTTCAAGTTTCTGTATAGTTGTTGACATTTCTGGCGTAACCTACAATTAATTGTAATAAAGTGACATGTACCAAACCTGAGAAAAAAATTTAACAACTTTAATATGCTATATATAAAGTATGCTTTGCATAATAGTACTATAAAAGTGTCAAATGTATTTTGATATTGCTATAAGTGTTACAGACACATTTGATAATATATCGATATTAACATACAAAGATGTTTTTTCGGGTTTGAACCGCGTTAGTGTCATTTTAATAACGACGTTTCGTGAACATTACAACTCACTTCATCAGGGTTTGAAGAGCAGTCTGATACAGTATTAGGCTGCTCTTCAAACCCTGATGAAGTAAGCTGTAACGTTCACGAAACGTCGGTATTAAAATGACACTAACGCGGTTCAAACCCGAAAAAACATCTTTGTATGTTAATACTACACACCGCGAAAGCATCAAATATCAAATATATCGATATTTGATACGAATACCCAGTAAACAATTTGTTCGCAATTTGCCGGCAAACTGTCAGCAATTTTAAGCAAAACTACTCAGCAAATTAGTATCAACTGTGTCCGCATTAGGCTTCGATTTTGTTGCCAAAGCTTGTCGACAAAAAGTAACAGCAACTTGCTAGCAAAACCCGAGCAAAGCTTGATACATATTGAAACATATTTTGGTCTGAGACCAAACTGACTTTAAATATGAAGCAAGATCTGCGCAACACGACACAGCTTTGCTTGGTTTTTGCCAGCAAGTTGCTCTTATATTTTGTCACCAAGCTCTAATATATTTTTGCTAGCAATTTTACAACATTGCCAGACAAAACAAACTCTGCATCATATTTGATGTCTTTCTGCTAATAAAATTTGTAACAAGCGTTTGGCAAAATCTGTTTTGAATTTGACAGATTTGGTTATCTTGATATGTACGACATTATTATCATTCTAAAAGTATTAAAACGTAACAAACTGTACAAATATAAGTAATGGTAACTTGTAACATTTTATTTTACACTTTACACTGCTGTACTTCTTTTTTTTTTAAATTAAACTCTTTCTTGCTAAAAACACTTTATATACAGACTTACTTAATACACAATTTCATCGTAAGCGACTTAGTTTCAAACACCTAACACATTTTATTCTAGCATTAAGGGCCTTCTACAATAAGATATTAGTAATAAATCAGAAGTCAGAAGCAAGAAACTGACCAATCACAGTCAAATCACAGAAGAATAATCGATTGTAATTAATCAATTTCTTGCTTCTGACTTCTGATTTATTACTAATATATTATTGTAGAAAGCTCTTTAGAAATGTACTAACACTTGAGACCAAAAGCACACCGCATAAGAAAGTAAATAAAAAAACTATTGTATTCTAATTTCCTAATAACTTACAATTTAGCTGTTTGTTAAATGTGTACATACTGTAAATAGTTTTATAAAAAGTAAAATATACCTCATCCATATTAATAAAATAGTTCTCGATTTTTAATGTGTTAAGTATTCGGCATATTTGTTTCACTTTAGAAAAAAATAAATGTCCAAGCAGATTTTCACTATCTTGTTGGAAATCTCCACGTATTGCTAAGGTGTGTGTTAATGGTTGTAAAAAAGTTTCATACGGCTCCATTTGAGACGGAAGAATAGGTTCTTTGCTGTAGTCTAAATTCCATAAAATTTTATCTGCCGCTACTCTTGAAAATCTTGTGCAACATCTATAATAATATAAATATAAATATTTATAATAATATAAATATATTTCAACAAAATCTATTTTAATACATATAAAATATAAGTATATTATCTTAAGAAGAGACGATTGATATTATTTCAAACGACTATATGTCGTTTGACAAACTGTCACACAAGCAATACGTATAATAATAAGCCCGCTTTTCTGAAAGATACAGTTTGTCAACAATAGCAATGTCGTACTATTGTCGCTATCTATACAGTGTTTCGGATATTTATCTGTCACTCGCCTCCCGTAAATAAAACAACTCACAATCGGAGATTCTTCAAGTTGTTTATGTCCATATTTTTAAATATACAAAGAAGAACTTCATCTGGAAAGTCAAGAATAGTTTTTGTTGTTTGTTGTTTGTTTGTTTTTTTTTCTTGTATCGGCACATCGCGGTCGTGCTGTTGTGTTTTATCATCTTCTACTTCAAGTTCTATCTTACTGTGGGTCCTTTTTCTAGGTTTGCCCTCGAAAGAAGTCGAAGGTTTGTCCTGGTCCATGTGTTTATTTTTTGTACTCATATATGAAAAACACTTGATACTTAGATAAAGAGAAAAACGACAAATTTACATTTAAAAAATCAGATATCATCTCGTTTGTGATATGCTTACGTTTAGTATTATTGCCGGCGATTGTGAAGAACTTGAAGGTCCGATATGTTGTCGAGAGATGTAACACACGTGTATCTTCTTTGGCCTACAGAAGCTGAACCCAATGCCGTAAGTCCGTTTCATTAACTTTCTTTTTGAATTTTAACTGCCATCCCCACAACTTCTTATTTCTGCCTATGCTGTTTTACCTGTCAGTTTTGTTATCTTTGTTTATCTTTGATTGACACACTACTTACGTCATACTGTGAATGTTTGCCANTTATAACTATAGATTCCTACTTTTCCTACTGACAGTATTGTTGATGTAATNGAGAATTACTGCACCTCTTTCTCTATTTGAAGTTTATACAAGATAGATATTTTTAAGTAAGTAGGAGGGTATACGGAGTCTCTCATATATGAGATGCAAAAGTAGCATACGAATTTTAAGAGAGTGAAATTTCAATTAAAAAAACTCACGTGTAAGATTTACACGTATACATATGTGTACATCTATATATACACGAATATTATCGCAAAACTTCCAGCGAAGTATTGGCTCTTAATGACCGATTTACATGTACTTATAAATATTTTCACAAAGCACACTTTATCGTAAGGATATTCTACAGACATTATTATGAGATATCGCAATATCCATAAGACATTTCAAATTGGTCTCAGATATCTCTGAGAGATATCCATAAGTTGTACTAATGTCCGCTTTAGTGATATNTTACGGATAACATAGATAATGTCCAAAGGGTATCCGAGAGAACTCTAGAAATATCGTACGATATAATCCCACATAGCACGTAATATTATTGCAATTATAGAAATATTACCGTAATGTTAATGTAATATCTAAATGTCAGTAATATGTAACTGTCCGCCGAAATGCATCACAGCAATATTGTGGTGATATATAACAAAAAAAATACGACACATTGCCTTGTAAGAGAATAGCCCCTTGCACACAGCCCGCGAGACTACTTGATCTTTACTAAAATATAATTCTTTTATCTACGTATTATCAAGCTTTTCTACACATTTTATTTATTATTTATGTATAAGTTATTATTTTATTAAACCTTTTACAGTGTAATGTACCTACACCAATGGATAATAAATTTTTTTAAGTATTATTATTATTATTGTTGTTGTTGTTGTTGTTGTTGTTATTATTATTATTTATAATTTAAAATACATTATTATAACGTGAACAAATGATTTGGTAACATATGCTGATTATTGTAGTCAATTCTTAATAAATATATACCACAAGGGAAATATAAAATATAAATAAAAATAAATATAATATACTATAATGAAGGATATAATATATAAAAATATGTATACACATTTATATGTATCACTTTTATTATATAATAATAGTTGTACAGTAAGTAATTTTATAGTAAAAGTGTTTTACACAAAAAGTGTTTTTTGTTGATATAATACATTTTGANAACAAATGTAAAGACGGTGTAATTTTTTTTTCTAAGATGTTTGAATAAGTGTTAGACAGTTTTATATATACGCTTATTTTGTAAGTATAAAAATATTGAAAACATTTATTTAAAATTTGAGTATTACCTAAAATAGTGTACATATATGAATTTATATTGAGATCGCATTTACACTTTGAAATAGTTTACGATATTCTCAAGATAAAATATGTTGTGTGTACATATGTCCGAGAGATATCCACAGATGTGGAAAAGATATCCACCAAATATTATTTGGACAGTTTAAAATATCTAGTAGATATCCATAAGATATATTTGGAATAATTGGAATAAATTTTATAATGTTCACAAGATATCCTGCTTTATCACTTGGCTTTACATAAAATATCTCACGATATCTTATTGTAATATCCGGAAAATTACTTATTGGGATATTTCTGAGATTGCACTTGAAAATCCCGATGATTTTGGGATATCCGCAAGATATAGTGTGCTGTGTGGGTTTATATTTTCACGATGAACGAAAAAATAGACGGAATAAGGCATACATGTGCTGTGATACTTGTACTAGATTTTTGACGTATGTAGGTAAACTATTTGTAATATCACACAGTTTGGAGATCTTTTTATAACTATATATAACATTAGACAAACTTTTTCGATTTTGTATATATTCTCGTCACACCTTAAGAATTACTTTTATTATGTTACAAAAACCGAAATTGCTACAAAGAATATAATATAAAATCATACTCGTTAGTTTAATTTACAAAACGAATTATTAAATTGTACAAATATTAAATTAAGTATTTTTGCTGTTTAATGAACGCGGGACTTAAAAAATGGATTTTTTGTCGCAAACAATTTAAAACATATGTCATTGTTTTTAATATGGTTTGAAATGTAATAATTACGAATAAAGAAAACTTATAGAAAAACAAACTAACGACAAACTAATCTTGGGAAAAATTACTTAATATAGCAATACTAATACAGTTAAATTACTAATACAGTTAAATTTTTTAAAAGTGTTATTTAAAGTGTAAGAGTTTACTTAATAAATTTTGAAGTAATTTAAAGTGTGGAAAACATTGATGTAAAGTGATCTAAACAAGTTAAAAGTATTTCAAGAGTGATTTTAAGAGATAATCTTAGAAAACACAAAAATTTCAAAAAATGATTTCAAAATAGTCTTTAAGTCTTCTAAAGGAATAGCAACTCAACTTTATAGCTTCTAAAGTTATTGTTTTTATTATTTATAAGATTTATAAAACTTTATATAGCATTTAAAGGTATTCTTTTTATTATTTCCATTGTATCTAAAATTTTTTAAATGCTTCTAAGTTTTTTAAGGTTTGTAAAAACTAAACATTTGTTTCCTTGTATATAAAAAAACAATTCATATCTTTGCAAGAGTTTTTTTAGTTTCTCTAATTAAGTCTATTTCCTGATAGGAAACTATTTACAAAATTATGTGACAAAATCTTGCACTAAAATTGTAATTTGCAATTATACAGACATATTTTAGGAAATAGATGCAAAAACATTGCTCTTTTCTAAAATATTTGTAGTTTTTTGCAAAATTGGTTTCCAAATATTATTTCGGCAAAAGAATAACGATATGGCAAATCATCTTAGCAGTATATTTGCAAAATTACTTTCACAAAAAAATTGTTTCGCAATTTTTGACAAATAATATTTACAAAATTATATTTTGACATAACTAGTGCGTTATGGCGAATCATCTTAGTGCAATCATTGCAAAAACGTCGCCAAACATAATGCCATTTTTGTGCAATAGTTTCACAAATGTACCTATTAGGTTACACGCATTGTGGCAATGTTCCTATAAAAATTTTACTAATACGCCCAAATATTTTCCAAAGACAACAATCTTTTATTTCTTTACACTTTTTACATGCAATTACGATAAGATTCACATAAACTACATCGGAATATTTAATTATTTTTTTAAAGCTAAATTTTTTTTTTTTTTGTAACTTTGTAGTTATTCTTCTGATGCACAAGTTTGACAATTTTTTTGATAATCAACTTGTACAGTTATAGATACTAAAATAAAAAGGTTTAGGTAATAAACGCATCACATTAGGAAAAGCGTAGAGTAGCCTAAAAATGGTCGTAGACACATTTTATGTGGTCCCGTTCTTGAACACAGCAATACATGCGTTTTTTACTTATGTCCACGAATCGAGTGAATAAAGTGCTATATTCTCGCAATTGATAGTTGCAAAGTGAAAGCATGCTTCTTTTCTAGTCGTGTAACACACATAAACTAAAAAGCAGTTGTGCCTTGATTTAATATACCTTTTTAAGCTCAATTTCATGCAGAACTGACGCGCTAGTCACATTCTGTAATTGTTAGAAGCAAGCGACTTGTCATACAAGTGAATAAAAACGACGAAAAGTAGTTAAAATGGCAGATTTTCCTACTTAGGAACATGTAAAAGTCGCACGAAGTCGCAAACTTGAGAAATAGAATAAATGAAGACTTAATTGGAAGTTAAATTCTTATACCATTTTGTTCATTTTTTGTCGTTTTTTTTTATTTTTACGAATTGCTATCTCACTCGCTTTAAAGAATTACCGATCGTGAACATCGCATCATATTTTACCGAAATGTATCTTGAAAACTTTTGAGGAATAAAAATTTNCAGACGTCATATAATTAAATGTGGCACCATATTATAGACATTTACCGACTTTATCAAACCACTCATCTATTTTGGTACATGTAGTTTTGCTAGAGACATATTTAAGTGTTTTATATACCTCAAAATTACTAAAGAAATTCTTTTACTTATTTACATAACACACTGTAAATATGCTCAGTTTTACTGAAATCGAATTTTTTAAATGCTCTGTAAAAATCTTTTTTATTGTATATTTTGGTGTTTTTCAAAAGGAACTACTCTTTGTAAACCATTTTATGTATATATATAAATAATAAATTACACGCTTTTGAATTATCACCAAGAATAATATTATTTACTTATTTACTAGATTCAGTGAGATAATCGTATGATATACCATCACTGGTGACCACCATCTATCATTTATCAAAATAAATAATTTTATAAACAGAAATATTTATTTTCTCTGTATTAAACTAATATTCTTCAATACTTAATTCTTAAGCATCCGGCATGTTTGTAAGATAAAAACAAGTAGAGGTTCAATAGAATTTCTATAAAATGATATTGTAACGATATTTACCATATGATTCCTACGATAGAAAGTACCACATACTGCTAAGCAACCTGTTACCAGTTCTAATATGTGTTCATACTGTACACACGGATAAAATTCGAGCAAGTACGATTTTTTATCATAATCCATAATCCAGAGCGATTTATCTAATATTAGTCTTGATAATCTCTGACAACATCTATGACAAAAATCTCACAACAAGGTTTATTTTACGAAATAAAAAATATATACGAGAAACGAGTATAAGTATTTCACACGACTGTATTGTGACAAACTGTCATACAAACACTGTTGAGCGATAAAAGAACCTATGCTTAACAGCTGTAATTCTGGAGGATAAAACTTGTCAACAACATCAATGATTTAGTAATCGAAGCTGAACTTGAGAAGAAAATCTTATTATTACGCATATAGACAAAAAATTGGTCAAAGTAAAGATACCAAACCACTTGTTAACAGCCAATTGCTGTGGAGTGGAAAAGATTTCTGCTCGCATGAAATATGCGCAAAACGGACAAGGTATCATCTATTTTCTCGACGTAAGCTCAGTATACTATGACTATCTATGTAAACGATACCTAACTGTATCGTTTTGAATATTTCTTAATCACATCAAGGAAAAAAATAACACAAATAAAAATAATTCTATCACATTCTATTATATGAAGCAGAATTCCACTCGGTAGTTCAAGAAGATTTCTTGTTTGCTTCTGGTTGAGTTTGTTTTCTATCACTCTTTACTTCGATTTCTGTATTACTGCTGGTTTTTTTTTAGATTCTTCTTCAAAAACAGTAGAAGATTGAAAATGTAGTCTGTATTTATTTGTACTTTTTGTTTTGCACTTATCTGAAAATCAATTACAAAGTAGAAAGTAGGAAAAGCGGTACATTTTCATTTCAAGACTTTTAATAATTGTGTTTGTAATAAGCTTACGTTTAATACAAGTAATGTAAGGGTAATTGTTGCACCACGTGTTACAAAACGTGAAGATTATAATCGACTTCAGGACGCGTAACATACATTCATATATATCTTTGTCACACGAACTGAACACGTTGATTCAAGTCCAAAACATAAATTTTCTGTTTAAATGTTATCTGTTGTCTGTACCAAACCTTCTTACTCGAGTCTATAGTGTGCTATTTTTACTGCCAGGTTTATTATTTCTGATTATACTAATTGAATAAACACACTAGTTACGTCATATTGACATTGCAAGTGTGTCAGTTCTTAAATCAAATCTCACGAAAAGTTCTACGCTAAGTGTTCGTATTACTGAATTTAGTAAAACTTTTCTACATTTCGAGAGATGTAATTTGGCGTTTCGAGTATAGAAATATAGACTATTCTTAATTATATTGGTAGCACCGCTTACGAGATATATGATTCCTTAAGTGGTTATTTTTGGTTTAGTGCACTTATGGTTCAGTGGATTTGTAAAGCTAGTTTATACTGCATTCAAAAATTTTTTAATTTTATTTCCGTTTAAGAAAGTGTCGTAAGATACTTCTTGCTACACCAGTTCTACAATTTAGAATGCATTCTGTCTGATTCTTATTTGGAAAAATTTTTGCACAATGCAAAAGAATAGCGATAGCAATACGCAATAGTCACAGAATTTCAAATCGTCGAAATTTTTATCGCCATTTGTTTATTCCGTTTTCTGATTTACAATGATACATGTGTATTTTTGAATGTTAAATTTCGTTGTGTTTACCGATAGTTATAAATACAAACCTTATAAAGCCGATGTTTGGTTTCTTGTTATTGCTATTTTGTCGATTAGTGCAAGAGGCGTAACAACACAAGGCGTTCTTTGTGTACTGGCGTTTCAGTAAATCGGTGATATGCACGCTTCATTTAATTGTCGCAGTTCAATGTTCGCCTAAACGACAGCCATGTTTACCATTACTTTGCTGATCACCATTAGTCCTGGTAAGAGCCTGAATACACTTGTCGCGTGTCGCGACGTCACACAACAGCGCGATAATCAAAATGCATTTTCTAAATGGATGATCACATTGCGGAATTGTGTGATGAATACTGACAGTGTATATCAAACCGCAGTCAAAAGTAATCATGGTTTAGTTTTGAAACATATAAACCAGCGTGTACAGAATACAATCAACGCGGAAAACAATATATATTATGTAACATTACTTAATCATATATGATTCAACCTAAAAATTCTAAACTTACATATACTGTATAAATTGTAAAATTATATTTACAGTACATATATAATATATACCACCTATAATATAACCGTCAGAAAAAGTATAAAGTTAAGTATTTTTGTAATGACGTTATTATTTTACCCATCCTTTCGACTTGGCAATTTTTTGTGATCGATGCTTTCTCTTTAACGTGATAGGATCAAAAGTTTGCTTACAACAAGAAAACACTGTTGTGTGTTTCATATTTGGTTTTATTTTCATTATTACGTTTACAAATTACAAGACAGTAGTTGTAATGCAAACAATTTATGGTTACTTTTTTAAGCTGATATGTATAAGGTTTAAGTTTATTCTAAGTTCATCATAATTTCTCACAGTAGTCAGTAAATAAGTTTACGCGTCTACAGACTCACATAATAATAAATATTAAACTAAAATATAAAATTTGTTGTGATTGCGTTTCTATAGTCGATATGACACCAAATATCAATTGTTTAAAATTAATACGTAGATATTTAGAAGTAAGAATTTTTTATGTGTTTTATTAAAATCTGTATAAAGTAATTTTGTTTCTATTCTCTCTTAGATATTAAAACTATAAGTTTATAACTTTGTATATTACAATAAGTTGATACAAGGTTTCGTAATAATTATAATTGCAATTATAATTACTACAATTACGTAATTGTGATCGTCATGCACACTTACTTTTTTCACGAAAATTACAGGTTTGTTAAAATTACTCAAATACTTGCGATATCAAGTACTACTTTTTATCGAAATAGGAAACAATTTTCGTTTCTACCTTGTTTCTTCTATAATCTATGTCAAAATGATTTTGTATAAATACTTATCTTACTTATACTGTTTTAGCATATCGTTCATGTGGTTTACTAAAAGATGAATAAATTTTAACATTAGGTCTTTGTGATTCAAAGTCTTTAACATCTTCCGGAGTTACAGAACAACCAGTTATATCCAACTCTATTAAGTTTGGTAATGTCGACAACATAATATTGATATGTGTTCTTGTAACATGTGAATAATGTCTAAAAACATATATAAGCATTATTCTGTAAATTAGTTTTAGTTTTTGGTTGTTAGACTTACGGTTTACCTAATATGTAATATCTTCAAATTAGTACATCTACTTATATAACGACTACTATTTGACAACAAATAGTTCTGGAACAGATCGTTCCTGTAAATGATTATTTCTTCAATTTTGTTTTCAGCAAGTTGAGACTAAATCAAAAGAAATTATATTATTATCTAGTGCGCAAAAAAATGGATGATGTTTGTTACTACTATTGTATAATGCAAGCATGTATGTTTGAGTAACTAAAATGAAGGAAACGAAAATATGGAAGACTTACTTTTATTGTATCAAAAAAGATACAACGCTTATCTTCAATCAAAGGCCTGTATTCTTTGTAAGAAAAGTTTTGTAACTCCTGTAACGAGTTAATTGACAATTCTTTCCTTAAATATTTCGGACATTCTAAATACAGTTTATTTAAAGAGTCACCTTTACAAAACCATTCAAGTAGCTCATCCGCTACTACTGTGTTTTGAAAGTTTAGAGTCTATAAAAAAAGGAAAAAAAATTAAACACTTCTATAGAAAAGTGTGCTTTTCACAATAAATAAAAAGCAGAGTTATTAAGGTTTTGAAATAAACAATACCTGAAGCTTTTGGATGTGACAAAGAAGTGTATTTAAAGTAATGTCTGCATACGAACATTCTTGCACACGAAAACATGAAGTTACTTCAAGTGTGTGAAGTTCTGTAAGCATACATATAGTGGGCACAAGTAGCGGCGTATCCCATAGAACGTTGTTCCAAATCAAGTGCTAAAATTTATATTTTTAACACAGTATTGTGTCGTTAAGAGAATACTGAATACCGACTATAGGAACCTGTAAATGCACGTTGTAATATTTCGTTTTGTGCCGTATTTACTGCATAAAGTCCAAAATGCTTTGACAGAAATTAGTAAAATGTGCTAAAATATTGCTGTTGTTCTTTGGAATGTTATAATTTAGTATAAATTTTTCTTTTACAGTTTATTTTTATACTCTCACCATATATTCATGTTCATATAAGTATTTCTAAAATATGTACGTATCTTATGTACGTATTTTATACTAAACTACAACAATGAATACGACAAACAAGACTTCAATGAGACTCTCACATTATGATTGGAATGTATAAGTGACAAAAAAAAGCGATTCTCGTAATGACAGTATAAGTTATCATATACTATCTTTGTGAAGAAAAAAAGAGCAGTATATATCTGTTTTTAAAAGCAGTATGTAATGTTTTATATTTATTTGCTTATGTAGAAGCATTTTTTACGTAAAGCAGTACACAAAATTAAACAGTAGTGAAATTTATTTTTAAAACATTGATTTACAGGTCTTCATAGTCGGTATCCAATACCTTCTTACTCAAAATGTGTATGTATGATACAGTACACTAGATATATATAAAGATGTATAAACATGGAAAAGATGTATAAGCAACAACTTACTTTTATATTGGGGAAACAAATAAAAAAACAACTACGCCACTTCAAGTTGTTATTAAGACGAGTACTAGTTATACAAGTTTTGATTTCAAGTTTCTCAAGAGTTGGTAAAGTCATCGATATATACTAAAACAATTTTAATAAAGTGTCATGGATTTGTAACAAAACTAAGGAAGAAAAGTTTTACCAGATGTATAATGTGCTATAAAAAAAAAGTGTCTTGAATAGTACTATTATAAATGTAGCATATGTACTTTGATAGCTATAATTTTTACAGACATATGTAATGATATTACCACACAATTATTATTATTAATAATATTATTTTAAACGTAGGGAAACAAACCGAACTGCAATAACGTAAATACTGATACTTTTTGTACGTGACAGTCCTTATTTTAAAGAAAGTGAAAGTGCATTGTAGAAAATATATTTAGTAGACAATTTGTTTACATTTGGATGCTAAGAAATTGAGACCTTGCAAAACACTACTCAGATATTACTTAATATAAACTGACATCGTAAGCGATTAAAGTTGCGAACAGCTGAAGCATTCTATTTTACCATTAATAATATACTATACCATTTAAAAAAAAACGACTAGATCAAACAAACAAAAATGAAAAATTATCGTATTATTGTGTTTTCATAATACACAGTTTAGCTGTTTGTTGAATGTGTACGTATTGTATCAATATTTTCATAAAAACTAACATATACCTCATTTATATCTTCTGTAGTTGTAATAATAAAATACTCCTCAATAATCAATGTGCGAAGTCTCCGGCATATTTGTCGTAATTTAAGAAAAAAACAAGATGAAAGAACATTTTCTTTAAATTGTTTAATATTTCCACGTATTGCTAAGCTGTATGTTAATGGTTTTAAGAAGGTTTCATACGGCTTCATTTGACACGGAAAAATAGGTTCTTTGCGATAGTCCAAACTCCATAAAAATTTATCTGCCGCTAGTCTTGCAAATTTTGTGCAACATCTATAATAAATAAATTTCAACGCAACTTATTTTGAAACATATTAAACATAAGTACATTATTTTAACGAGAAGCGATTGATATTATTTCAAACGATTATATATAGTTTGGCGAACTGACACACAAGCAGTACGTATACTAGTAAGCCTGTTTTTCTGAAATATCCAGTTTGTCAACAATAGCAATGTCGTACTACTGTCGCTATCTACGCATTGTTTCGGATATTTATCTATCATTTGCTTCACATAAATAAAAAAACTTACAATCGGAGATTATTCAAATCGTTTGGGTCTACATTTTTGAATATACAAAAAAGAATTTCATCTGGGAAGTCAAGAATATTTGTTGTTGTTTGTTGTTTATTTGTGTTTTTGTCTCGTTTCGGCACATCGTGGTCGTGCTGTTTTGTTTTATCACCTTCTACTTGAAGTTCTATCTTACTGTGGGTCCTCTTTCTAGGTTTGCNTTTGAAAGAAGTCGAAGGTTTGTCCTGGTCCATGTTTTTATTTTTTGTACTCATATATGTAAAACACTTGATACTTAGATAAAAAGAAAACCGACAACTTTACATATAAAAAATCAGATATCATCTCGTTTGTGATATGCTTACGTTTAGTATTATTGCCGGCGATTGTGAAGAACTTGAAGTTCCGATATGTCGTCGAGAGATGTAACACACGTGTATCTTCTTTGGCCTACAGAAGCTGAACACAATGCCTTAAGTCCGGCACATAACCATTCTTTTTAAATTTTAACTGCTGTCCCCACGTCTTATTATTTCAGCCTTTAGTGTGCTATTTTATCTGTCACTTTTATCTTTGTTCATCTTTGAGTGACACACTATTTGCGTTTTACTGTGAATGTGTGCCAAATATATCTATAGATTCCTACTTTTCCTACTCACAGTATGTTTGGTGTAATGGAGAATTACTGCATCTTTTTCTTTCTTTGAAATTTAACAAATTAGATATTTATAATTTTACGATAAACAAAAAAATAGACGGAATATGTCAAGCATGTGCTGTGGCACTTGGTCTAAAGTATTCACGTATGAGTACAATATTACCATACAAGTTGGAAATACTTTTCTAAACATATATACTATTAGGCAAACTGTTCCGCTTTTATATATATTTTTGTCAAACTTTATGAATACTTTTACTTTTACTATATTACAAAAGTAAATACCTACAAAATAGTGAATAACATTGTACGCGCTAAATGTTTTTCTAAACGGATTCTTCAATTATCAGAATAGGAAGTTAAATTTGGTATGTAATTTTTGATAAACGAAAAAGTAAAAAAAAGCCCTTCAATCGCGAACAGTTTACAAAAATATTTTATTGTTTACAATATTGTTTAATATATGATAAGATTGCATGAGAACTGTAAAAATACATAACTTACGATAAAATAAATAACTGGTATATTTACGACCCTTATTTTGTCGCGCCACACTAACTTAGTATTAGTTAAGTAAATCAGTAATATAGAAAAAAGCTACCCGAGTCGAAATTTTGATGCTACTTTCAAACTTTTGAAGATACTTTGAACCTATTTAACTGACCAATATACTTATTTAAACCTACTTTGACACTTATATTCATTTACTCCTCTTTTGAACCTTTAATTCTATAAATTTTACGTTACT